GAGAAGGATGCATCGCAACTCCTCTACCAGTAGACAGCAGATGAAGAAAGAGGGAGGCGCGAGGTCTTCACTGGGCGGTTTAAATGAAACGGAGGAGGCGGGGGGGGGGGAACAGACAAGTTGCTGTCCTTTTGTTCTTCAGTCTAGTAGTGGAGGACGTCGCTTCACTGGCCCATGTTGGTATTATCATTGTGCTCTTCCCGGGTGAGGCAGATAGGTCACCGGCCACTGGATGGCTGCTCACGGTGACTCTTAGCAGCTCATGTTGGCTGCCAGCCGCTCACGGTAGCTTATGGGAGGGAGCCCACTGCAGCCCCACTGCAGCCCCCCTACGCCATAGCTGGCAAATCATGGCAGCCCAGCTCCAGGCTGAGCTGTGTTCACCATCTTAGCTGTACAGGGCACAGTATCATTGGCCCTCATGTGGGATCCAAACCGGGGCCCTGCTGCTCAGAGCTGGTGTCCCAAGCCAGCTCTTAACCAACACGCTACTCAGCCGGCCCTCATGTTTCTACCTGTTTCCACTGCCAAGTCGTTTGCTCATGCCTGAGTATTTTCTTCCTGTATTACGACCTCACCAGGCTACCTGGAGAAGGACCACAGATTCAAGACCACTCCAGATAGGAGGCACACTCATCCCAAATCCATCGTCCTCGTCTTCCCTGACAACTGCTGAGGACCAGGCACACTCCCTACTGGCTTTTTCCGTGCTCATCACTGGCTCAGAGAGATACTGGCACTGTTTGGTTTTCTCCCCATTGGGAAGTAAACCCCTGAGAGTGGCCCTAAGTCCCTATGGTAGCCCCAGCACTGAGAACAAGACTCAGCACCCATAAGGTGCTCAGTAATCAATTTTTGAATGATTGAAAGAACCAAATGAACAGGGATTAGAGTATCAGACAGACTATGTAATCCAAGAATCTATCAGAATTTAACAGGATGGAAAGCAACAGCCCACTGGAAAATTCACAGACCAGCCCAAGGTTTTAATCCAAATTCAAATATTTGCAGACTCTGGACGTTAGACAAGTAACTCTCTATGCTCAGTTTCATGGTGAATGGTAATAGAACTTCCCTCATAGAGTTGCCTTGAGGATGAAGTGAGAATGGAAGGCACTGAAATGAGCAAGCTCTCAATAAATGATAACTGTTATTACTATTCTTAAAGTTTTTCAGATAAAATAATAGTAAACCAATCTATATAGTGGGCTGTAACATAAATAAAATACACAAAATAATACTTTTTCTCATTTAATCTGGCATGTGTTTATCCCTCTGTATTCTCAGCCCACATAGATCATTTAAGCAGCACTTCATTAGGAATGGGAAGGCCATCCAGACAAGCACGGATGCTTTCAACCAAGCTTTCCATCATCTGTTGTCTCCCTTGATGAGTTGCACTTCCAATGTGAGGGGTCAGAGTGATGTTCTTCAATTTCAACAAAGGATGATCTCTGAAACACAGATTGAGGGAAACCATTCAGAGCTGTTTTGTCTCTTGAACTTCATATTCTGGTTTCATGTCCCCACCCTGAGATGGAGAAGATACAGGAGACCTTACGACATACTCTAAATTACACCTCGGTGTGACTACCACTCATCTAACCCTGGTATGCGGGACCCTACATTTTTAGGTGGAAAACACATACCTTAACTGCATCCAGGCCATTACTACACAATGGCACAACATGCCTGGTGGATTAAACACTGACCCACAAGACCAAAAAGGGCCTTAGGGGAGACAGGTGCTGGTCCTGGCATCACAGAACAAGCTGGATGAGTCTTTAATGAAGGCTGGCATTCCGAGGGAAAAAGATTTATTAACTAGAATTAGCAGATTAGAAGGAGTTGTTTTCCAGGAAAAAGGCAAAGATGGGAGTCAGCCTGGAAAGATAATGAGGTTTTAGTGAAGTGGGTCAGGCAGACAAAACATAGTGATGGATAATACTAGAACCCAGCACTGGGGAAACAGCTGTAACCTGACCCAACAGGGCCTCCTATTTTAATAAAGAGACCAAAGTGGCCATGTGGCAATGACCCTCCATCCTAACTACTGAGGCTCAAGGGGCACACCTTTGGGAATCTTACGGACCCCCAAACCTATGGAAATTCTCTGGGGGCACTTGTAACTTATATTAATGCACTATGACTGCCCTAACCCCCAGGACTGATCCAAGTAAGACATAGCCTGCAGTATATTGGGTTGTTGGAAAAGTGATGATGCATTTTGTCTGTTTTTCGAAGGTTATTTATTTATATAAAGAACAAAGATCAATCGAGGATATATTGCCCGTTTTGTTTGATAACCTTTACCATCTTTCAATGAGCTTCATAATTCCTCGTTCATAAAAGGACCTGTTTTTATTTGCAAAAAACGGAACAAGGTGCCGATTCACAGCCTCATCTGAATTCAACATTAGACCACGCAAGGAATTTTGAAAAGAGCAAAACATGTGGAAGTCTGACGGCACAAGGTCAGGCGAGTATGGTGGGTGTGGCAACACATCCCATCCAAGCTCCAATAATTTTTGTGATCAAACTTGTGTGTGGTCTCACGTTGTCGCAATGGAACACAACTCCTTTACAATTAACAAGCTCTGGACGTTTCTGGATGGTGGATTCATTCATAGTGTCCAATTGTCGACAGTACACATTCAAACTGATTGTTTGGTTCCTTGGTAGGAACTTGAAAAACATGACACCTTTAAAATCCCACCACACTGAGAGCATAACCTTCCTCTGATGAATGTCTGCTTTCGATGTCGTTTGAGGCGAATCATCATATCAGGACCAAGACCGTTTGCACACCACATTGTTGTAAACAATCCACTTCTCATCACCAGTTATCAATCGCTTCAAAAAAGGATCGTTTTCCTCACGTTTAATGAGCATATTGCAGATGTTTATACGCGCCGTCAAATGAACTTCTTTGAGTTCATGTGGAACCCAAATATCGAGCTTGCTTACATATTCCAGCTTCTTCAGGTGGTTGTGAATGCTTGAATGATGGATGTTCAGTGTTTCTGCAATCTCTCAGGTCATGTAATGTGGTTTTGACTCAATCAATGCCTTTATTTTGTCGTTATCAACCTCGGTGGGCCTCTTTGACAGAGGAGCGTCGTTGAGATCAAAATCACCAGCACAGAATTTTGTGAACCATCGTTGGCACTTACGTTCCTATAGAGCATTGTCACCGTAAACTGTATGCAGCTTTTCATGAGCTTGATGCGCGTTCTTTCCTTTATGGAAGTAAAACAGTAAAATACAGCAAAAATGCAGTTTGGTCTTCCATCTTCAGCTTGTGGTAAAATCTCCAAATCTCAACCAAATCACTCAATTTTTTTTAGAATGAAGCTAGAACTCTCCTCTGTAAAGTGACATAGCAATAACATAGATGTAATGACTAGTACTTCCAAAAATGAACTAGTGCCATCTGTTGCAAACATGCGTCATGACTTTTCCAACAACCCAATAGTTAGCTGGGGTAAGAACTATTCTGAATAACGCTCGCCCTCCCCATGAAAGGAGGTGCGCCTTCCTATGGAACAGCACACACTGAAAACCAGTCTCAGCAGGAGGCTGTGAACTAAAACAGAGTCACTGGCTTCATCCCAATGAACTTGGAACCCAGAGATCATGGCATGGCCAATTGTAACAACACCTGTCCATAATAATATCTGGTGTACAGGCAAGAACCAATTCTGTTGAGAAGGCGTAGCAAATACCTCTGGAAATATTAGTGATTTGTTATGTAATAAATCTGAATTATAGCATGACCGTATTGTGATACGGGGTAATACTGGCATCGCTGGTAAACTGAACTACCTTGTGTCAGTAACTGAGTCCTATGATAATACTGATACTGATGTCAGTTATATTGGGAGATTGAGTTAAAGCTTCCTCAGAATCTGATACCGATGGAAAATGACCAGCCTGAAGAAAAGCTAGCTTTAGCTAACCAGCAGCTAATTTATAAACTAAATAGCACTGCACACGTCCAAATATCGGTAGATCAGTGGGCAAACAAACTAGAACAAAACACCAAAAAGTATGTAATGGCTTTATAGGGTGGTTTAGTTGCTGCTTTAAATGTACCTGTCCTCACTGACTGCTCCGCGTGCCAGGCAGTCCTACTGATATTCTCGCTGTAGCTGTCAAGTAAATATTATACAACAGTAAATGTAGCTGCTCGGCTACAACAGTCATTCTGCCGTAAGATGGTTCTGGTCAAGGGCCAGGACATGGCTTGTGTGATAAAGGACTGACTCAGCAGGTAGGGCCAGAGCGCGACAACCCAGCACCTGCCAAAGACAAGCTTCTGGGCGATACACTACCTGACGAGTGTCTTCTTATACGGGGGGCCTTGCGCAAAGCCAGACGGCTTATGCTAAGAATGTCACGTGTGGTGAACGCCTGCTTTTGTTGACCAGGACCCTGAGCCACTCTATCATTCTGATCTCTGGAGGGGCTGGAGACCAAGTAGCTAATGTCAGACATGGGGGCACCCCATGGTACCAAGGCTTGGGGGCGCTTCCCTGGTTAGAAATACTTCATCTGTGTTGTCAGACATCAATGCGGAAGTCGTAACTACTGCTTCTCCAGCTGCACTGAAAGAGGACAATTGCTTTCTCCCGGGCGGCAGCCTACCCACTGCCTGCCTGTGTTGAGTTGAATCTGTACCCTTTCACTGTAATAAACTGTAAGTGTGGGTGTAAAAGCTTTCCCGCACATCTTTCCAACAAAACATTAAGCTAAAAGGTGATGTTGGGGACTCCTTGCACTATTGGCAAATGAATTTTTTGTTTTTAAAATAACCTTGTAATAAAGCCTTTTGTAACACAAAGAATACTTAAGTAGTATGATTAAATAATTCCAAATTTCTTACTTAAAAATTTTTTTGCAGTAGACAGCAACAAAATGTCTGCCCCAAAAATCAAGATGAAAACTCAAATACGTCTGATAAATATAGAGATAAGAAATTAATATAGTTATCTAAAGATTAAGCTATTCATAAAATAATTGCTAAATCTCTCTGCCACAAAAATGAGTTGACCTGGGATATTGGGAGTACACCACCTGCACCACCTATTAGGATAAACTCAACTTTGGGCTATAAGCCTGGTATTGGCCCTGTGACTTGTTAGCAAATCTAATGCAAAGCTCATTTTAGCAGACTAGACAGCAGGGGTAATTATATGACTCCTAGGTTTCTAAGTGGAAAACTGTCTAAAATGTTCATGATTCTTAATTTGTATTGAAATTATTTCTTGTTCTACATTAGTGGTTCTTTAATATTTGGTCACAGAGCATCTTTACACTCTTAAAACTTGAAAACCCAAAAGAACATTTGTATATGTGGGTTATATCTATCAGCATTTACTGTATTAGTAATTAAAACTGAAAAAAATTAATACTACAGAGGCACACATTTCTTTAGCTATTAAGAATCATCGTATGTCATTTGTCTCTAGAAAACTCCATTGTACCCTTGATAAAACATGAGTGGAAAGGTAAATCACATCTTCCAGTATTATGAAAATAGCTTGGACTTCACAGATCCCCTGAAATGGTCTCCAGACCATCTTCTAAGAAACTCTGTTCTAAATAAATTATTTTTCTCAGAAATGTCTGTAAGTTCTATGGTCAATCTTGATAAATTTAGATATTAAATTTGGTTATAATATTATTCAACTGGCTGTAATTTGTTTACTGGATAGAAATCAAAGATGGAGGAATGAAAGCTGGAACAGCTAGTTTAAAGGATGAGAGCATCAAGATTCAAAATAAACGCCAGAATCAAAGCTCTAGCTCTAACAGCCTGATCTTTGGGTCAAAGCACAGAAGCAAATGAAATTAATAGAAATAAATGTAAAATTCCACACATACACTTAAAAAACCATTGAGGGAATAACAATTTCAGTTTTAGCTGACGAAAAGCTTCATGATCTAAGGGTGCCACGAGGTCTCTGAAACCATGTGCTGCCAGTGCAGACTCTGGGTGACTTTTCTGCAGTGGCCAGGCCACAACCCAAATACTGTGTTCAGTTCCTGGGAGGACCATAAAACTAAAGAGCTAGAAGATAATTCCCATGACAAGGTGTCTGGAAATGCCATTATTTAGGCTACATTTGAAGGACCCGAAGGTATTTAGCCTCAGAAAAAAGACTAAGATGAGACAGGAATTGTCCTAGAATGCGTAGCAGTTAGCAAAAGGGAAGAAAACCAAAGTCAGCCTCCAGGCTCCAGAGCAGACCAGGGTCAGTGGGAGGAGTGCTATTTGGTGCCCTGCTGAGCCCAGTCCCTGGAGGTGTCAGCAGAGGCTCGCCTGCCCATCCCAGGCCAAGACCCTGCAGTCCTGGCCAAGCGCGGGCTGTCTGAGGGCTATCCCCACCCCGGGGCTGTGGGCTCTGTGGCTCGGTCACCTGGGCAGGGGCTCCGGGTATGTCACGTCCAGTGCTGCCGCCTTGATGATCTCGGTCTGAAGCGCTTCCAGCAGTGCATCCTGATCCACTAGCAGACCTGAGGCAATGACACAAGGCCTCTGCGGTCACCACAGTGAGGAGGACACCAGGAAGACCTTGGACACATCAGCTTCTACTGCAACCCGTGTGGGGCCGTCAAAGGCCTGACATGGTAGCCTGAGCGACTCAGGCAGGCACAGCGCATGGTGACTGGCAGTCAGCGCCCACTGAGACCGTGCGGCTCCAACAGAGACAGCTCACCCATCATGCACACGCTGCATGTTACACACATCACACGTTACACATCACACATACATCACATACATTACACATGTCACACACACATTACACACGTTAAGAGTGCACGCTCCCTACCAGCCATTTCAAACACACATAGTGGGCAGAGGCAGGAGGGAGCCCTGTCCTCCTGTCCAGGAGCCCCACCTGCCGGGAGCCCTGCACCTCCTCCCCTCTCCTGGGCTGTCTGTGTTTCCAGAATCTACTACGTTCCCCGGTCGCATCACCTGAAGCACATAATGCACTTGTGCTTCTTGCTTGGTTAGAGGGTCTGAATTTTCAGACAACTTTCACACATTAGTTTGGCCCTGTGATGTTTCACAGAGGAGAGACATGGGTGGCCGCTGGCAGCACCAGGTCTCAAGCCCTGTGGCCCCCAACCCCGAGAAGGCTTGGCCTGGATGTTTGGCATCAACACTGACCCTTATGTGTGCGGACACTCACCGCTGTCCAGGGGACTCTGTCTCTTCTTTATAAATGCCACACCAGCACCCCTCCCCAAATATTCGGTTATACCACCTCCTGTGTGTAAATACATACCATACTACCTAAACGTGAAAGCCACACTAACACTGGCTATTCTTTAAAGTGAAGGCTCAGAAAATTTGTCCCCATAAATTTTGCTTAATTACACACCTCTACCCTGAGTACATGCCCAAACCTGGATTCCAAAACCCCCACATTGCAGCATTCTCATTCTTTTTGCTACTAATCTGAAGTCCAAAAGATGTGAAGAGAAAAATCAGAAATATTTCTAAATAGAAAGTAAAATCCCTTTAACTCCAGCCCCCCACACCCCCATTCTAGTCTAAGCGGAGTTTTCAGCCCCTCGGGGGAAAAGGTCCACGGCAAACACCGGGACATGGCGGGGTCGTCCTGCACGGTTCTCCAGCCACCCGGCCATGTCCACGAGCGGAGCAGGTACCTCTGCCAATGTTGATGAGCATGGCGGTGGGCTTCATCAGCCTCAGCTCCCTCCTCCCAATCAGGCCACGGGTCTGGGGCGTCAGGCTCAAGGCCAACATCACAAAGTCAGATTGCTGAAGCAGATCATCCAGCCTCTCACAGTAGGTGGCCCCAACGACTTCCTCCTCCTCCAACTTCCTGTGAAGGGAACAGGGAAGGAAGATCGTGTTCTCTAGTCAGAAATGTATCAATCAAGTCGCCCCAGGAAGGAGTTTCTGAGGGGAGCCAGGGCCTCGGTCTCTCCCCGATGTGGGTCCAGGACTCGGCCATGGGGCCCCGTGGGCACTTCTGGGTTGCCCAGCAAGCCCTCAGCATCTGCAGGATTTCACACGGGACCCACAGCACCTTGCGTTGGGTGCTTCCTCTCTCTCATCCTTGAACCCGAGTCTGGTACAAGCCTGATTGAGCATCAGACATGTCAGAGCATTACAGGATGTGGGAAACACATCAAAGTTTCCAGAAAAAAATAAAATAAAATAAACAGGAGAGGGCCTGGGAGTGGTCTGTTAAACAGAAAGCGAGGATCCAAGGATCCGGTTCAAGTCCAATCTGAGCGCCTGCTTCCAAGCTCCAGGGGGCCACCGCCACCGCCACCGCCACATAAACACGAAACCCAGAATTATAGGAACTCTCCCCTAACACGGGCCTTTGCCGGGACTGCCTGGAAGGAAGATGAACGCCCTGCCCACACCCCACACCTTGTCCTGGAAGGGCCCGGCTTCCACGTTTGCCCCTCGTCACACTGAAGTCGTGACAGCTGTCTAAGCCTATCCACTGTCCACTGTGCAAATGCAGTGGCTGAGAAAGGGCACGATTCTGATGTGGCATTTCCCAGCTCACCACCAGCCACAGCTCCAGTCCACGTGCAGTGGGAAGCCACTGACCGGCGGTGCCCAGTGCCGGATCTGCAGAGGGGGCTGAAGGGCAAGAGCAGACAGGCGGCTCCTTAGGCGTATGTGTGTGGATAAAGTGAGAGAACAGGCAGGTCTGAGGGTTGTTTTGGACGGGGAGTCAGTAGGACTGTGTGTTGGGCTGAACTGCATATGAAAGGAAATGGGTTTCAGACTGAATAAGGGATTGGATGAGTGTATATCTCAGAACTAAGGAACCAGTCAAATCACTCAGTGGGTATGGACAGCATCTCCCATGATCAAAAAGTCACTTAAGAAATTAAAGAACAATTATAGGCGAATTAAAATCTTTCTGGTGAAACTTTTTCAGTGGAAACAAGTCACAGCCACGTTTCTAGGTAACCATAGAAATACCATGGTCCCTTTCTGAACCATAAGCCCTACTTTCTAGAGACAGAGCAGGGGAGTCTTAAGAAGCATGGAGGGAGCATGTCCAGCCCCACCGAAGGCACTGATGGTGTCAGTGCCACCCCGTTACCTCCAAGCCCACTTCCCGAGTCCTACCTGCGCTTCCTGTTGTGGTACAGGATCTTCATTTCGAATGCCCTGGCCCTCTGAGCGACCTTGTAGCCGATCCTGCCCATGCCCACAATGCCCAGGGTGGCCCCCGTCACCTCCTGGCCCATCCAGTTTATGGAAAAGTTCTCTGTATCTGGTGAGATGGCCAACTGGTGACCTAAGATACACAATGTGACAGTGGTGAGTGGAGATGGCACCACACAGAAAGCCCACAGCCCTTTCTGGGACTGCCTGACAAGGTGGCGAGGGTAGAGGATGCTGGTGGCAGACCACGGCTCTCACACATTTCATTCTGACAATAAACAGGTTTCTGCAAAGGAAAAAGGCAGCGTCCTCATGACAGAACCAGCACCTCCTGGCAGGATGCTTGAAAATAGCAACTCCTTTCACATTGAGGAGGAAGTTCTGATTAAAATGTGTTGGTTTTGGGGGCTTGTGTCATGTGAGCGACTGTGTGTCTGTGTGTGACCGTGTGTGACTGTGTGTATGACTGTATGACCATGTGTGAAACTGTGTATGATTGTGTGTATATGTGTAGCTGTGTGTGTGTGACTGCATGTGTATGCGTATGTGTGTGTGTGTTTGACTGCATGTGTGGGTGACTATGTGCGGGAACCAGCACACACAGAAACAGTAAGAGCCTGGTTCTTGCTTCTCTTTCCTCAGCCTCTTCACACCCAAGCTCCACCAGGATGGGCAAGTGCTGACTTGCTACACTGTCTTTCCTGGGGACACTCCCACAGATGTCCAGTGTGTGGGCAGGTGGGACTCCGCCTACTCACTTGCAGGCCTTCACCCCAGGGCAGCAGGCTGACGAACGGCCAATGAAAGGCCCACGGGCACCTTCGCAGTGACACTGCAATGATGTCACCGCACACACTTCCCACCTGCTCAGTAAGCGAGTGGCATATGGTGGTGGAGAAAACGGCCACCATCAGACAGACTGCTGGGCTTGATCACTAGGCACACTGCAAGGGAGCAAGAGGGGCTCCATTCCCGAGTGCTGGGCACGCTGGGCGGAAATCAGGGCCAGAAGGACTTGAAGTTTGAAGGGGACGTTATTCTGTCACGTGCGTTGTTAAATGTCTCCCATCCGACCTCTGGAAAACCAGTATCTCAACGCCACTTACCTTCCAGTACTCTACGGGCTGCCGCCAGTAGTAAGGCCATCCCCATGTCGGCCGTGGGGCCAGTCACAGCGCATGGTGTGTTGGCCACCTTCACGCCAAAGCTGGCGAGGAGCTTCAGGTCCAGGTGGTCCAGACCGGCCCCTCCACTGGCAACAATCTTCAGGGCGGGCAGGCCCTGCAGAAGCTCCCGGTCAATAGCGGGCTTTCCACCCCAGATATACACAGCGTGGATCTTTGGACCCAGCTGGGTTTTATTTCCCATGAATTCTTGCACGGTAATGAGCCTGAAGTGTTTTTGCAGGTCTCCAACATGCCCTTCAAACACCGCAGTTGGGCCTTCAAGTGCAGACACAAGGACCCCTGGCAGGTCCTGCCCTCCCATGGCCTGTGGAAAGACAAACGTGACCTCTGTGGGCAAAACCGTCTTTAAGGGAACCACCTGTGTGCTCTTCTGCTGCTCCTAAGATTTTCTCAATTACAAGACTGAAATGCATTTTATGTCCTGGGTAAATTCCTAGAAAACCTGAAAGACAACAGACCCAGAGCTCTGAAGGTAGCAATGTCCCATCATGCCCTTTCCTCCCTGCCTCACAGCTGTGGTGGCAGCCTCTGAGCTGCCTCCAGTGACGCCCTCCTGGTAACTACGCCATCATGGTGTGACCCCAACTCTGGAGCGTGCTTCTAGCTAAGAGAACAGGGCAGAAGCAATGGGAGGTCACTGTTACCCCCTCTCTCCCTCCTCTCCCATCCCCTCCCCTCATGCTGCGAGGCAGCCTGTACAAAGGCCCTGAAATCTTCAGAGTCCCACCAACCACCAGGCGAGCCTCAGATGACTGCAGCCCAGGTCAGCATCTGATTCAAGTTTCATGAGAGACCCTGAGCCACCTAAGCTACTCGGATTTCTGACCTGAACACCTGGGAGATAACAGATGTTTGTTTTTTTTCATCCACTAAAATTCAGGATAAGTTATTAAGTATGCAGCAATAAATAACTAATAATATTGATTGTGGACAAAAAAAGGTTTTCTATGGAAAGTAACCTCATAGGGTGATCTGACCATAAATTCCAGACTAGGTGAGTCATGGTGGGCAGTAGCGTTTTTAGTAAAAGGTTACCTTGGCTTGAAGCAGCTCTAGGCTCACACACCTTTGAGCCGCCAGATTAATCCTATTTTTCAGACCCCTGAAGTGTGACCACCCTGAAGAGAACACAAGGTTTTGTCAGCTGTCCTGTAATCCATCCCCACCTGCTTTCACCCACCTTCATTTAAACTTCCTCAGGTTCCCTCTTTGGTTACAAATGCAAAATCAAAGCTGCAAACTCATTCAGGAAGCATTTGAGATCTTGCCTCCCAGCAACTGTTGTCAGTTATGGATCAAATAAACTTATAAAAATTCTCTACAGGTTTGGAAGTTCTTACGTTAACATGACCATTTTCTACTGTGAAAATAAAAGATATTTGTTATCATCTGCCAAATGAATTAAATAAGGTTTTATGTTCCTTGTTACTAATTAAAAATAAGATATCTTAAACATTTTATAGCTTTCCTCCAAAAATACAACCTGTTGTGTTTCAAGAACTGAGGCTAATTAATGTATTTTATCTTTGAGTCATGAACTTAGTTAAAAATGTTTAAAATTGGGGCTGGCTGAGTGGCTCAGTTGGTTAAGAGCTCGCTCAAGAGTTTGAGCTCTGAGCAACAGTGGTTCGAGTCAGCCCGAGCTGAGCAGCCGTGAGCTGCCAACAGGTGGCGGGATGGCTCAGCTAAAAAAAAAAAATGTTTAAAATTGGTTTAAAGCTCAGAGCATAATTGGTTAACATCTTTTTGAACTTTGAGCACAAGATTAAAAGAGTTTATTCAAGATAAGATTTCAGTTGATAAAGCACAGAAGCTTCACCTTTGGCTTCCCACTGACCTTGGTTGGAGGGCAATGCATGCACGCAGCACACTAGGGCTTCAGATTCCCAGGTGACTCTGTGACTCCACCACGGGCTGCATGTGCTGAGAGGGAGCCCTGGGCAGAGGCAGGGCTCCCGCCCTTTTCCATCTCTTTCTCTCGCTCTGTAATTCCTTTCACAAGCATAGAATCTGACCACCTCCAGGAGTCCAGCAAAGGAACTCTAGATATTGGCTGCTGGCACCCAGCCCTGTGCTCCGAGGGGCGGGTGGCTGTGAAAGGCTCGGACACCTGCTCTGGCACAAGCCCTGTGGCTGGCCAGCGGTCTCCCAGCTCTCCTTACTTCTTGGTGCAAGTGGAGTCACAGGAAGTGTGTTATAGTTGCACCCAAAGATCCCATTTCCTTCTTCTCCCCTAATTTCTGTATAAAGTGAGCTAAGTAATGTGCCTCTGGGATGGGTCCTTGGGTGGGCAGTACCAACATGATGGGTTGGCTGGAAACACTCTGGCAAGGAAGGAGCATGCAATGCAGCGGGTACTGTCAGTCACCTGCATTTGGTCCAAGTCAAAAGATAAACCCACATGTGAAATCTGGAAAAAATCAGATTTTACAGCTTTGTTTTTGGCTAACAGAGTTATAAATCAGACATACATTTTCTAACTGCTGTGTGCTTTCTCCCCATGACGTTCAATTTGAACTGCTAAAATAGATTAAAAATTTGTACTTTCTTCTTGCAAAATGACTGCTTAATTGTTTTTTTTTTTAAAGATTTTTAATTGGGGAATTGGAGGAGGGGAACAGACAAGTTGCTGTCCTTTTGTTCTTCAGTCTAGTTGTGGAGGACGTTGCTTCACTGGCCCAAGTTGGCACCATCATTGCGCTCTTCCCGGGCGAGGCAGATCAGTCTCCGGCTTCTGGACGGCTGCTCACAGTGGCTGCTGGCCGCTCACGCTGGCTGCTGGCTACACATGGTAGCCCATGGCAACCCACTGCCACTGGGGCTGCAGCCTACACCGTCGCCAGCGACTCATGGCAGCCCAGCTCCAGGTTGAGCTGTTGTTCAGCATCTTAGCTGTAGAGGGCAGTGTCACTGGCCCTCATATGTGGGATCCGATTTGGGGACTTCTGGCGTCCCAAGCCAGCTCTTAACCAATGCGCCACTCGGCCGGCTCCTAATTTTTTTTTTAATTACCATTTTGAAATTGCCTTCAGCAGATCCAAGGCTCTACACTCAGGATTTCCTTCTTTTAAAGCCCCTATAACATTGAGGCCCATAAAGAAAAATAAAGAAAAACTTCCACCAGCTTGCTTCAAAGGAAAGTATGATTGACGTTTACACAACAGTCATGTAGGGCGGGCAGGGAGCAAGGTGTGCAGACTCACTGGTTCTGTGAAGGCTGTGCTGGACCGAAGGGGAGGAGGGGCAACGGACACTTAAGGACAGACACAACTTCTTCAATTTGCAGAAAGGGCAGGGCAGTAAAGAATGTATTTTTAATTTAAAAAGCAAAAATGGGAAACAAAAACCAAATGCAACAATAAAAGTATGCTTTAGTTTTGGGGACAGAGAGAAGAGACACAACAAAGATGGGGTGAGGGCAGGGAAGAAGACAAACAGAAGAGGACAAAGCAGGAGTGAGGGCTCAGGCCAACTTCTCTGCTTGGCTGTGCTTCTCTCTGAAACTCACTTTCCTCCAGTGTAAAGTGAGGGTAACCGACAGCCCTGCACAGCGGCCCTGCAAGTGAGAGGTGAGAAAGAGAAATATAATGGAGTCACTGTGGTGAAGCTGCTACATTACTAACTTCAAGTGGCCTGAGGCATAAGGAAACGATTTATCCTGCTAACTGATTCTGGCAACCTAAATGTTGGAACTTCCTGGGCCTGCGTCCATACCTGGACGCACATCAGTGTATTGTGTGTGAATCCCTTCAGTTAGTCATCTGAGGACCTCAGGAAGAAAATGTCCCATTGTCTAGACCACCGGACATCTGATGAATATCATGTTGGACTGATCTAGGGGCTCAGAAGGCAGAACTGAGTCTTCTCAAGAATGTACTTTTGACTAAAATGCTCAGACTTTTCTTTCTCCTTTGGAAAACTCTGGGTATTGCTGGTTTGCAAGCCCTAAGACACTTGACTAAATCTTTGTTGTTTATCTCTAGCCAAAGTCTCCTGACTCCTTTTGAGTATGTCCAACAGAGATAACATGCAGAGCCTGGAGAGCCAACTACTTATAAGCTTTCAGTGCATGCAAGTAACTAATGTTTAAATCTGAACAATTTAGATATTTACCCATCCCTAAAAATGAACAAGGGCTGGCCGAATGGCACGCTGGTTAGGAGTTGGCTTGGGACACCAGCTCTGAGCAGCAGGGCCCCGGTTTGGATCCCACATGAGGGCCAGTGACGCCGTGCCATGTACAGCTAAGATGGTGAACAACAGCTTGACCTGGAGCTGGGCTGCGTGAGTCACCGGCAATGGCATAGGCTGGCTGGAAGCGGGCATGAGCTTTCGTGAGCTGCCAGGAGCCACTGTGAGCAGCCGTCCAATGCCGGCAAGCGACTGCCTCACCCGGGAGGAGCACAATGATAATACCAACATGAGCCAGTGAAGCAACGTCCTCCACAACTAGACTGAAGAACAAAAGGACAGCAACTTGTCTGTTCCCCTTCCCAGATTTGCCAACGCTGTTTCCCTCCCCAAATTCCCCAATAAAAAAATCTTAAAAAAAAAAAAAGAACAAAATTACATCAAAAAGGGAGACTGGATTCATAAAACACAGTAAAATTTCTTAAAATCCCATTCCTCACACTTCTTCCACTCTTAGTATTTGACAGGTGGGTCCAATACACTCCAAATCACCCTCATTTCCCCAGTGTGCCAAGATTTGCTTCAAACCAGCACCAGCTGGCTTGTCTTCTCCCGCCAAACCTGCCCTCTTATCCTCTCTCCAACCCCTTTCAAAGTCTATTCTCATCTCAACTACCAGTAGTTTTCTGCCCCCATCATGAGTATAAAATCAAAGTTGTTTGTTCTCTGTCTCTCAAACAGACTCCTGGCCCAGATCATACACAAGAGAGACTCAGAAAACAGGCTGAACAGCGTGAGCGGCCAGCAGCCGCAGTGAGCGGCCGTCCAGAAGCCGGTGACTGATCTGCCTCAACCGGGAAGAGCGCAATGATGGTGCCAACTTGGGCCAGTGAAGCAACGTCCTCCACAACTAGACTGAAGAACAAAAGGACAGCAACTTGTCTGTTCCCCTTCCCCCAATTCCCCAGCACTGTTCCCATTTCCTAATTCCCCAATTTTAAAAAAATCTAAAAAAAAAAAAAAGAAAGAAAACAGGCTGAAGCCCTCTGCTTTCTCATCATCCTTAGCATGATATTCTGGATTTAATGGAAAATTATCTGATTAATACATGACTAGATAAAGGGGCCTAAAAGATTCAGCTATGCCAAAGGGTTTACAGGTTCTTTGACGATATTTTTGCTAGTTAGGGATTATTGAAAACTGCGCTGTTTGAACCTTTTATGCGATGTTTCTTTGGTCAACAGGTGTTGCCACGCAGCTGTCCAGCTGTTTGTCCCCCCGCACTCACCCCTAAACTCACCCTTTTGAGGACACTGCTCACACACCTTGCGTCTCCCTGTTTGGCCCCCAAAGAGACTGGAGGTCTTCTACCTCTGTTGCTACATTCCTTCTGGCAACCTGCTTGGGAAGCGACCTGATGATGTGATAGTATCTGTCCCCAGCATAATAATCTTCTCTCCCTGGGGTCATAAGTGTATGGGTGTGTGAAGGCAGAGCATTTGTCTGGTCATGCGGGTGGACTTTTGGTAATAGCATCTTGCAGGCATAGGTAATCCGGAATGAGCAAGTTCTCAGAAATGAGACTCACAGACTGTGGAGAGAACAATGCTACTTCCGGGTATGTGGAGAAATAAAAGTTGTGTGTTGGCACGATTCGGGGCTCTTAGTCCTCTGAGGCTGGAGACCCTTGGACCCGCTGTCCTTGAACTCTTGGCTGCTGTTTCTTTTCTTTCTTAACCCTTCGCCGCCCCTTCTAGTTCTCTCACTGCCCTTGTCGTGCGGGACACGACAAATGGGTATCAACAAGCCAAATATAATTAATTTAAAATCAATGCTACCCACAATGTGTCTCAGAAAAACAGGTGCTACACTCCTAAAAAACTAGATTCCTGTAAGGGAGTAAACTATAAGCTAAAGTCTGATGTGGGTACCTGAATTTTACCCATTTAAAGCTTAACCTGCCATTGTGGACAGCTTGGAAAAATAATAAATACCTGTACAAATTGACCTTTAAATTCTAGCAGAGTCCCTGAAGCCACCTTAAACCACTTTCAAACTAGGCTGGTATAAATAATAACAACGTTGGGTTTTCCCTGCTAAATCCTTTAGACTCTTGAAACGCGGGTCCTGACTCACCTATCCCAGGTGAGGTCTGGGGTCATAGCCACGCCCACGCGGCGTAGCTCTGTCCAGTCTCCGACCCACACCACGACATCCTAGGGGCACACTTACCTTTTAAAAGAACCCCAGATTTGAGGGACGCTCTTGTAGAACCCAGCCTCCCGCGCAAGTCGCTGACAGTGAATGCCAGAGGTCCGAGGGCACAGCGATCTCCTGCCCACCTGCCCAGGCCCCGCCCCACCACGCCCAGGCCCCGCCCCGACCCGCAGGCCCCGCCCCCTCCGCGGACCTCCGTTCGCTCCCCTCGCCGCAGGCCCCGTCCGCCGCCCGAGCCCGCGCCCCAGCGCCGGTGCCACGCCGCGCTCCGTCCCGCCTCTCCCGGGCCGGCAGGCTCTGACCGCAGCCTAGGTCCACCCTTTTCCCCGCCCCTCAGACCTGGCCGCACCCCCTACCTCAGTTTCCTGCTGGAGGGCAGCGGCGTGGTGGCGGGGCGCACCGGAAGTGCACTTGCGTGCCTGTGGCGCTTGACTGAAGCGGTGATCCGGTCAGGACTTGGGATGGGGTCCCCTCCAGTCAGGTTGGGGATGCCCCTGGCCCAGAATCGGGGCCCGGGCCGTGGGTGTGTGGGGCCTGCGTGGTGGGGAAAGTGGCCGGGCTCGGTTTCAGCGTGGCGGGAGCGAGGCGGTGGGGCTCGGGGGGTCCCCTGCAGGCGGGGTCGGGGCTGCACACCTCAGGACTGGGGCCCTTGCGGGGTGTTAAGGCGCAGAGCGGGGCGCCTGCTTGCAGGGCCTCCCGTCAAACCGCTCCTCTGCTCGCCTCGGTTTAGTACCGAACTCGAAATTCGGACCGTCGGCCTGCGGGTGCAGGACCGGGCTAAGGCCTGGGTTCCCAGACTCCGGCTTTGCACCCACCCCGGGTGGGGCTGAAACTCACGAGTGGGTGTCCTCTTCCAAGGGCCTTTGGGTTGGGGGTGCCTGGGAGAGGCCCTCTGCAGCTCTGACCCGCCTCAGCGGGGACCACTCGCAGGCCAAACCCCTCAAGAAGGCCCGGGCCGGGCAGGAGGAGCCCGGCCTTCTGTCCTGGTCGCCGCTGAGCCCTGAGCAGTTGGTGCGCTCCCCGCGGACAAGGCCGCCGCCCTGCTCGAACTCGCGGCGCGCAATGTGCCGGTGGGTTTCAGTGAGAGTTGGAAGAAGCGCCTCAACGGAGAGTTCGGGAAACCGTCTTTTATAAAGCTAATAGGATTTGTTGCAGAAGAAAGGAAACATTACGCAGTTTATCCACCCCCAGATCAAGTCTTCACATGGACCCAAATGAGTGACATAAGCGACGCAAAGGTTGTCATCCTAGGACAAGATCCGTATCACGGACCCAATCAAGCTCATGGTCTCTGCTTTAGTGTTCAAAGACCTGTTCCACCCCCACCCAGCGTGGAAAACATTTATAAAGAGCTGTCTACAGACAGAGATGGTTTTGTTCATCCTGGTCACGGAGATTGGGTGGGCCAAGCAAGGTGTTCTCCTACTCAACGCTGTCCTCACAGTCCGGGCGCACCAGGCCAATTCTCATAAGGAGAACGGTTGGGAGCAGTTTACCGATGCGGTTGTGTCCTGGCTAAATTAGAACTCGAATGGCCTTGTCTTCTTGCTCTAGGGTTCTTACGCTCAGAAGAAGGGTAGTGCCATCGATAGGAAGCGCCACCACGTGCTGCAGACCGCGCATCCCTCCCCCTGTCTGCGTACAGGGGTTTATAGGTTGCAGACATTTCTCTAAAACCAACGAGCTGCTGCAGAAGTCCGGCAAGGAGCCCATCAACTGGAAGGACCTGTGACCCTGAACTGGGGCAGGATCTCCAGGCAGTTTTCTAGAAGCTGCTATTAAAGTATTTGTCAGTAACGGAAAACAAAAGAGCAGTGCAGGTCTTTAGTTGTGTGTAGGTTTACTATGATTTCAATACCACGTTTATGACTTGTTTTTAATACACGTGATCATGACAAAGACAAAAATGTTGCTGTGATGTAACAATGAAGTAAGTCGTGCTACAGCTGTTGTCTTTGATAACTGGCAGCCCCGCAGCGAGGGGCCCTTCTGGGGGCTTATCAGTAAGAACATGTGGAGAAGCCACCATAGCGGGGGGACGTTTAGACTACAAATACTGAGAGTTTGTAAGGACTATTTGAGAGTGTCAGTTTGGGCAAGGCAACTCTTCCTAACCTACCATAGCGCTGGGAGGACTACGGGTGGAGCTGGGCCCCTTGTTAACCGAAGTCATGCCTTCCTGTTAAACTTTGTGGTAACTTGGGGAGAGGGTGATGCTAATAAATAGAATAGCCATCTTGGAACCGGGGCTATATTTCTTCACGTGGGACACCGGCTGGTGCCCTGGTTGGAGGTGTGCGGTCCCACACTGCTGTGGTGGTTTTTGTTTCTTTAATGGATTTCCTGGCATTATTTGTGGCCAGTCGATAGGCATTCCTCCTGGATCATGGTGATAAACCATGGGGAAAGACAGACAACAGCCTGCCTACCAACACTGCAAGGTTGCAGAATGCAACATCAGTATACAAAAATCAATTATATTTCTACATACTAGTTGTGAATAATCTGAAGTTATTTAAAATAATTCCATAGAAAATAAAGAAGACCTACAGTAAAATAGAAAGACATCCCATAGCCATGGACTGAAAGACATAATATTGTTGAGATAGCAATATTCCCTAAATTGGAGTTACAGATTCAACATTTCCTGTCAGAATCCCAGCTGCCTTTTTTGCAGAAATTGACAAACTAATTCTACAGTTCATATGGAATGCAAAGGGTACAGAAGAGCCAAACCAATCTTGAAAAGGAATAAACTTGGAAGAGTCACTTCCTAATTTCAAGACTTACGCTGTAACTGTACATGAACTTCCTTTCTTTAGCATGCATATTGCTTTAAGCCAAGCAAGCTTTGTTTATACTGCTAGAACTGTGACTCACTTGCATTCTTTCCCCAGACCCTCCTACCTGTACATATGCTATATGTCCACTCCTTTTAATCATTAAACCCTTAGGACACTGGGTTCTGCTCAACACCAAATTCACTTAAGAATAAAGCTTCAGGCCTATCAGTCATTACCAAGATACAATTACCAAACCTCAAACTAGAATAGGGTTTCAGTCTAACAAAGATAACACCTCGGCCTCAGTTATGTTTCAGCTCCAGACTCATGAACGCAGAAAGGCCCCACAGATGGCATCTCCTGGGAACCCGACGAACGATGCCATGACTGACACCAGGACCTGCAGCCATGACCAATTGCTCCCGGTCTTAGCCCTGACCGATCAGTAGAGCCCATGACTCCCACTCCCATAGTAACCAGGATTAATGATTGCTCCCTTATATAGCTGCTAGAGGCCATGGGGGAGCCAGGTTTTTGAGAGTACTAGCTCACCTGTGTCTCTAGGCTTAGTGCCAACTCCTTAAATAAAACTTCACTTTCTTTGCTCAAACTTCTGCTGGTGTTTTCTTCTGGCTTGGATGAGCACAAGCAAGCGGACCCCTTGAGTCTGCAGAAACACTACAAAGTTACGTTAATTAAGACAGTGATACTGACATAAGACTGCATATAGAGATCAATGGAATAGAATTGACACTACAGAAATAAATCCTTACATTTAAAGTTAACTGATTCTCAACAGTTTGATGGGGAAATAACCTTTCTGATAAATGGTGTGAGACAGCTGGATATCCATATGCAAAAGAAGGAAGCTGGACACCTACCTAACAAAATACACAAAAATTAACTCAAAATGTTCACAGACCTAAATATAAGAGTTAAAAGTATAGAACTCTTAGAAGTAAACACTCATGAACTTAAATTAGTTTATGGTTTCTTAGCTATGACACTAAAAGCACAAAAAATATAAAATATAAAATATAAATTGGGTCGGCCGAGTGGCGCGATGGTTAAGAACTCGCTTGGGACGCCAGAGGGCCTCAGTTTGGATCCCACATATGATGGCCAGTGACACTGCCCTCTACAGCTAAGTTGCTGAACAGCAGCTC